CCTGGGCTGGATTTGAACCTGCCACCTTAGGTGTATGTGGCTGGTGCTTTAGCCACTTGAGCCACAGGCACCGAGCCTTAAGGCAATTTCTTAACTTTTCCTGACTTAAGTAAAATGATGACTTTTCTATCTACCAAAAAATAACATGCAAATTATGTTAATCTTTTTCTCAAATATTTGCCAGGAAAAAAACTGTACACATTCAGTGACAATTCCACTACTCTTGATATTGCACACTTACTGGATTGCTTCTAGGGCAGAAAGGGTTATGTTCTTGCCCTCTCTTTTCTGCCAGTTGATTTAGATACTCTGCCATTCTTTCTTTTCGTTTTCTTTTCATCCAGGCTTGAATCTCTCTTCTCTCCTTCTCAGTTCTTTGAGGATGTCTGCCAGAAGAACGCTGAATTCTGAGAAATTTAATAAGCAAGGCCTTATTTCCTTTAAACTTGTTATGCAGGTAAGAAATATCATGATTAAATAATATTCATTTGAAAAGTTTTTTTTTAAGTGAGAGGACAGAGTTTATTGATGGAAAGATTTATGGAAAAATTGATAAGTAGGCTTGGTAGCTTCGTGTCTGTAGCTCAATGGTTACAGCGTTGGCCACGTACACCAGGGCTGGTGGGTTAGAACCTGGCCAGGGCCTACTAAACAACGACAACCACCACCACAACAACAAAATAGCCAGGCATTGTTGTGGGACATGTAGTCCCAGCTACTTGGGAGGCTGAGGCAAGAAAATTGCTTAAGCCCAAGAGTTTGAGGTTGCTGTGAGCTGTGACGCTGTGGTACTCTACTGAGTGTGACATAGTGAGACTCTATCTCAAAAAAAGAAAAAAGAAAAAGAAAAACTAGTAAGTAAAAGAGGGGCAACAGAACCTCAGCAATGGAGGGGTGGCCCAAGTGGGCAGCCCTCCAAGATTTTGCCCCATCTTGAAAAGTAGTACACACCTCTGATCTCTAGTTAACTCATGCTAGTATGTTCCTTGAAATCCACTGAAAATGGTCTCAAAGTTAGACAACTTCTTTATAGCATTTCCTTTAAACTCTTGTCTTTGTCATTTAACTCCATCTTGCCTGATTTTCCTAAATCTCAAAACATTATGTTACTTCCTACACTGTCTCCTTTCTTTTCTCTTCACCACTTCAAAATTAATGTCTTGAAGGTTCCATTTCAAATGTTTCCATCTTTAATTTATTCCCTGGACTATCTCAATCACTTTTAAAACTTGTAATATAGAGATGACTTCACCTGCTGCCCTGCTGGATCTAGCCCCATGTTTAGGCCTAGGCCATACTTCGTCTGGCCAAAGTTAATGACTAAGCATGGCAGGGAAACTGTGGTAGGCCCATTCCTGTAAGACAGAGGTGACACAATGGGTGACTTTGGCTTAAGGTCTTAGAAGTACGCACCACATCCTAAGAATGTCTCCAGCCTCTTTCCTTCCCTCTCTCCTTCACAAATAGGTCTCAGACCCATATTATGGTATAATGCTTCTCAGGCTTGGCGCCTGTGGCTCAAGCGGCTAAGGCGCCAGCCACATACACCTAAGGTGGTGGGTTCGAATCCCTAGCCCGGGCCCGCCAAACAACAATGATGGCTGCAACCAAAAAATGGCCAGGCATTGTGGCGGACGCCTGTAGTCCCAGCTACTTGGGAGGCTGAGGCAGGAGACTCGCTTGAGCCCAGGAGTTGGAGGTTGCTGTGAGCGTGATGCCATGGCACTCTACCCAGGGGGATAGCTTGAGGCTCTGTCTCAAAAATAAAAAAAATAAAAAAAATAATGCTTCTTCTCATTTCTGCTTTTGTCTTCTTATTCCCCTCACAGGCACTCTCCTTACCCCCAATAAATCTCTTGTACATCTAATCTCTTCTTGACTTCTGCTTCTTAGAGAATCTAAACTATGCAAGTGATACTAGGGGTGGTCTGAGAAAACTGGCAGTGCAAGATGGGGATCCAGGCCAGATGCACCACCCAGTGTGTGAAGAGACATCCTCCCAAATGGAAGATGGGTCACAAATACAAACCATGTGGTTTATTCACTCTGAATGCCTGCTTTCCTTCTGGAAGTCTGGAACTTTGGTACATGCCAAACAACAGCCCCAATAAAACCCTGGGCACTGAGTCTCAAATGAGCTTCGCTGGTAGACAACATTTCACACATGTGGTCACAACTTGTTGCTACAGGAATTAAGGCCCATGTGATTCCAATGGGAAAGGATTCTGGGAAGCTTGTGCCTGATTTCCCCTGGAATTATCTTTTGCTGATATTGCTTTGAACGTTTTTGCTACAATTAGTTATAACCATGGATATGACTATCTGCCAAGTTCTGTGAGTCCTCCTACTGAACCCCTCAACCTGGGGGTAATCTTGGGGGTCCCCCAGCATAAGATCGATGTACTTTACCACTGCAGTCTGACAACTGTCCCCACCTTGAATGGATCCCTCTTCTGTTCCCCTTCAATCTATTTGGCTTTTCTCCAAATAAATCTCTTGCTCATCAAAATTCCATGTGCTTCTCACAAGATTTAAAAGTAACATACCAATGGACATTACCAATTAAATGCTTTCGTGGCACCTTATATCCAAACTGCACTCTGTATCTTGCTAAATGAATCATTATCAAGTCTGCCAAGTAGAAAAGCTGTCATTCTCACCTCCTGACAGCCTTACATCTACTACACTACACCCTCCATTCTGACTATTTCCAGATTACTGAGGCAAGACTTCTAATTGGCTGCCATGTCTAGTTAAAGCCCTTTGCCATCTCCCCTACTACTCATAGAAGGCTGAGCTCAGGGAGTGCCTCTGGTCCCCACCTCCAGTTTGACCCATTTTCCCCTTCCACTGTACAAACTCTAGCCATAACTAATTCCTTGCCCTTCATGCCTTTGCATATCACCTTCTCTCTACTGAGAATACCTTTTATCCTAGGTATCAGCCACATGAGTGTCTACTGATCCTTTGAGAAATGGTTCAAATACCGGAACTGGTATAGCAGACTTCTTTGGCTGACTCTCTTCCTCTGAGGTCCCACAGAACACTGATAAAACTTAATATTACAGCTCTATCCCCAATAGCAAAAACCATATTTAATTTTTATTATAATCTCTGACATTTAATAGACTATTAATAACATGATCATTAACCTAAAAAACCATTAAAGGTAACTAAATGGTGTTAGCTTAGAAATTTAGAGTTTACATGGTCTTGACACAAGGTCATAGATAATATAGCAGATAAACTGCACTAATTATAAATAGTAATATATATGTGTGTGTGTGTGTGTGTGTATGTATATATATATATATATATTTTTTTTTTTTTTTAGTAGAGACAGTGTCTTACTTTATTGCCCTTGGTAGAATGCTGTGGTGTCACACAGCTCCCAGCAACCTCCAACTCCTGGGCTTAGGCAATTCTCTTGCCTCAGCCTCCTGAGTAGCTGGGACTACAGGTGCCTGCCACAATGCCTGGCTATTTTTTTGTTGCAGTTTGGCTGTGACCAGGTTCAAACCCACCACCCTTGTTATAGGGGGCCAGTACCCTACTTACTGAGCCACACGTGCCGCCCAGAAGAAGTATTTTTTTCTTTTTGTTTGCACACTATTTTCTTAACAGTCTTGTAAGTTTGACTATACACTGAATTTTCAGTCAGGTAGTAAGTGGATTTGAACTAGGAAATAAGGAAGTACAGCTGCTATTCTTAAGGGTGACTCTTCTATCTAAGAAGCCAAGAGGTGTATGTATCACAGGGAAGCATCAATAGGGCAGTCAGCCTTCAGTTTATCAGGAACCAGTTTCTGACACAGGGAAGACTGCAAGGAAACATTTTAACCTAATGTTCCAAGGAAAGGCATTTAAAATATATTCTAAGTGGGTGGTGCCTGTAGCTCAAGAGGCTAAGGCACCAGCCACATACACCAGAGCTGTTGGGCTCAAATCCGGCCCAGGCCTGCCAAACAATGACAACTATAACCAAAAAATAGCCAAGCGTTGTGGTGGGCACCTGTACTCCCAGCTACTCAGGAGGCTGAGGCAAGAGAATCACTTAAGCTCAGAAGTTGGAGGTTGCTGTGAGCTGTGATGCCATGGCACTCTACCCAGGGCAATAGCTTGAGGCTCTGTCTAAAAAAAAAAAAATACATACACACACACACACACATACATTCTAAGGGTTAACATTTAGGGTAAAGTACCAGGAACTGCATCATTAATTACTTCTAATAAGAGATAGGATTAAAAGTGTGTTGTATTTAGAACGAAGACACCTGGGGAAAGCTCACAGAATACTGACATATATTGACCTATACTTGTTGGGAGAAAAGGGAAGAATGACACATACACATAACAGATAGGAAGAAAGGAATCTAATTTAAGCTTCAAAATTGTTTTATAAAAATCACATTGAAATGGCCAGGCACAATAGCTCACACCTCTAATCTTAACACTCTGGGAGGCTGAGGTGGGTGGACTGCTTGAACTCAGGAGTTAGAGATCAGCCTGAGCAATAGTGAGTCCTTATTTCTACTAAAAAAAATAGAAAAATTATCCAGGTTTCATGATGGGTACCTGTAGTCCCACCTACTTAGGAGGCTGGGGCAGGAGAAAATCACTTGAACTCCTAGAGTTTGAGGTTGCAGTGAGCTGATGTCACAGCATTCTAGCCTGGGTAACAGAGTGAGATTGTCTCAAAAAAAAAAAAAAAAAAAAAGAATCACATCAAAACATGGCCAATTTTGAACTTGAAATATAAACATTTTAAATGGCTTAAAAAGGAATTATTCAAATATTACCTGGAAATGCTTCTAGCTTGTTGTTTTGTTAAGCCAAGCTCTTCACTGGAAACTCCATCTTTAGTTATAAGGTCATCAATAATGTCTGCAATATCAGTTAATCCAGCCATTTGGAGTGGATCTTCTGAAACACTTCATTTGCAAATGTAATTTGAGAAATATAAATTAGTATCTGCAACTTAATTATTTTAAGCAAAAATGAAGATGTAATAAATGAACACAAAATGATAAACATGTATCTACTGTTCCTTCTTTTTCTATAATCCTAATATTTTTCTTTTGTTTTTCTTTGAGACAGAGTCTCACTATGTCTCCCTTGGTAGAGTGCCATAGCATCACAGCTCACAGCAATCTTAAACTTGTGGGCTTAAGCAATTCTCTTGCTTTAGCCTCCCAAATAGCTGGGACTACAGGCGCGCGCCACAACACCTGGCTATTTTGTTGTTGCAGTTTTCATTATTGTTTTAGCTGGACCAGGCTGGTTCAAACCCACCACCCTCGGTGTATGTGACCGGCGCCCTACCCACTAAGCTACAGGTGCTGCCCTGTAATCCTAATATTTTTCAGTGGAAAAGCCTAACCACCATTAATTGATGACTTAGTAGGTTCTCTCAGAAAAGCAAACATAAGGTCTAAGAGGAAACCACTATAGGTCCTGCCTACTGATTTAATACATACTTAGTAAAAGAAAATGTAGAAATATAGCCTATTGTATTTTAATTACCTGTGCTAAACAATAAGGAATATAACAATCCTCAGTTTTCTTAAAATATCTCATTCCCAGTGGTAACTTACTATATTCCTAAACCAAAAAGGATGTATAGTGTTAAAGTTCACAAACATGTGAACAGAATTTTCAGAACACATATTTACAACCAACTTTCAGTAAAACTATAAATTAACTCAAGATAGTTACCTTTCAAATAATTCATCACTGTCATTCACACCTTTAAAAAAGAAACATTATTATTAATAAGAATTTAAAGTCAATTTTTTTTACTTTCAACACTGACCTGACTTAGAAATTATGTAATGAGAAATCAAAAAATAATTTTTTTTTGAGACAAAGTCTTACTTTATCATCCTTGGTATTGTGCTGTGGCATCACAGCTCACAGCAACCTCCAACTCCTGGGCCTAGGTTATTCTCTCTCTCTTTTTTTTTTTTTACTGTTAAATCATGTTTGTGCACATTAATACTATCACAGGGTACAGTGTATTGTTTCCATATACAATTTGAAATACTTTCATCCAGTTGGCCAACATAGCCTTCATGTCATTCTCATAGTTGTGTTAAGACATTTATAATCCACATTTAGAAAGATTCACATGTACCCTTATAAGATAAATCACAGGCGTGATCCCTGCAATCCCTCTCCCTTTACCAATCCTCCCCCTTCCCCTCCCCCTTTCTCCCCTTTCCCTTTATTCTTGGACAAAAATTGGGTTATAGCTTTCCTATGATGGCTAACAGTTTCATAATAGGGTTGAGTACATTGGATACTTTTTCTTCCATTTTTGAGATACTTTGCTAAGAAGAATATTTTCCAGCTCCATCCATGTAAACATGAAGAAGGTAAAGTCTCCATCTTTCTTTATGGCTGCATAGTATTCCATGGTGTACATATACCACAATTTATTGATCATTCATGGGTTGATGGGCACTTAAGTTATTCTCTTGCCTCAGCCTCCCAAGTAGCTGGGACTACAGACCCGCCACAACACCCGGCTACCTTTTTTTTGCAGTTTGGCTGGGGCTGTGTTTGAACCCACCACCCTCAGTAAATGGGGCCGGCACCCTACTCACTGAGCCACAAGTGCCACCCCAGAAATCAAAATATTTTTAAACCTCCAAATTGGTTTAAAGATATATATGTACAGCATATTTATCAGTATCCATAACTTAATTACATTAACTAAAAATGAAGGTAAACTGATGAACATCTGATAAACTCCTCTTTAATAAGCTACTTGGTGGTACATATTATCTACATTTAAGAGAATTACTTTTCTATGCTGAATATACTATTTGATATCCTGCAGGAGGCATAACTCTTCTTTGCTTAGTACACTGTTTAGAGTACTAGAGTGGAATTAACTTTATATAAAACAAACAAAAATCCTCTAGTGATTTTTTTTTTCGTCTCACAAGACTTAAAAATCATACTCGAAGAGGCTTAAAAATCATTCTTTGGGTAACATTCTTACAAGTAAATGGGTTCTTGGATTTAAATTAGATATTTTAAAAAACGTATTGCTTTTAGAAGCCACTCTGTGGCCCCTGGTAGAGTGCCATGGCATCACAGCTCACTGCAACCTCCAACTCTCAGGTGATTGATTCTTTTGCCTCAGCTTGCCAAGTAGCTGGGACTACAGGCACCTGCCATAATGCCTGGCTATTTTTAGAGATGAGGTCTCACTCTGGCTCAGTCTGGTCTCGAACCTGTGAGCTCAAGCAATCCACCCACCTCAGCCTTCCAGAGGGCTAGAATTACAGGCATGAGCCACCACGCCTAGCCTCTAAAAACAATACGTTTAAAAAATATCTAATTTAAATCCAAGAACACATTTACTTATAAGAATTTGACCCAAAGAATGATTTTTAGGCCTTGTTAGGTATTAACTACATGTCTTCAAAGCAAAACACTTAATGTATTTGATCTTCTATATGTTTAACTCTAAAAAGAAAACCGAATTATAATATATGGAAAAGTGTTCTGACATCTCTTCTCAAAAAAAAAAAATTCCTTATGATTAAGATAAACCAAACATGCCCCTAAGACTTACATATACACATATTTTTGATATGAAATAATTTTGGTTTCTTGAAAACATATTGTTCTGTTTAGTTTATTAACTCCCAAATCAAGAATTTTATCTTTGTGCTTAGAGTCTGGGCATTTGTGAATTCTTTTTTTTTTTTTTTTTTTTTTTTGAGACAGAGCCTCAAGCTGTCCCCCCTGGGTAGAGTGCCGTGGCATTACAGCTCACAGCAACCTCC